GGCCGGGCGGGGCGCCCCGGGGCGTACGGATGGCGCGCGCGGTAACCACGACGACCGTGCGGGCCTGACCCCGCCCCGCCGCGGGAGCCCCGCCTCTCCGCGCTTCCCATTGGCCATCGGCTCCGGGGCTTCCCGAAGCCACCAATCGTCGCCCGCGTCTCCTACAAAGGCTCGAGAGACGCCTCTTGGCGGAAGGCACGCTCTGCGGGAGAAGCCGGCTGGTGACTTAATTGAGGTTAAGGTGAACTCCCATCCGAGAGACGGAAGGCTGACGGCATTACCTAATCGTGTACTCTTACTGGAGCACTACGAGAGCCCAGGCGGCCCTAATAACCGGCTGTGGCCGGTTCCTGTGGCGAAGAGCCATGAGACTGAGCTCACCCGAGATATCCATGGAGACTGGTGCAGGCTCCACCACTTCTAAACGTCGCTGCCCGTGGGAGAGGGGAATCTTTCTTCAACTAAAAAAGGACTGGCTAGTCCGCCTGGATCCTTCGGTTCCAAAGTTCTGAACCACGCTCTGGAAGCCAGCGTCGTTTAGCATTCAGGCCTGAAATTTAAAGCACTGAATGGGAGGCTGGCTTGACTTTGTCCTTGTTGGGTTGTTGTTTTTTTTTTCCTTGCCTCTGCAGGGAGGAATTAGCTGTCTCATTCCCCTTTGCCACGCGGGGCGGGGAATCAATAGGTGCTTCATCCGCAAGGGAGATGAGTTTCCCACCTAACCCCGCGAGACCAGGGAGGCCTCGGCCGAGGACTGGTAGAACTGTCAGATGTCGGACCCCCAGGGCCATAAATAATCCAGCCCAACCCCTTGGCTTTTGCGATGAAGAGAGGTGCGCAAGGCCACCGGCTGTCAAGAGCTGGACGGAAATCAGTGCTCTTTTGGCTACGCCGTGCCGGGCAGCTCTGGCCGCTTGCTTTCCTTGGGGACCCCAGCTTCCTGCCTTTCCTCTTCCTCTCCCTCCTCCTCTCACGATGTACAATAACACTTGGCAATGTGCACATCCAGCCCTCAGAACCTAGGCGGCAAGGACCACACTGAATTTTCTGATCCGAGCAAAGACAGTTTCCTCGACAAAAACTGCCTTGACTTGGCCTCAGTATGAAGTGCTGAGGAACACCGGTGTTTCTGCAGGCTGCAGGCTGCCCTTGGGCAGCTTGTGATGTGAATGGCCAGGCAGGCCCTGTACAAGTCTACCTGAAGGGTTCCCATCGCGGCCTCGTCGGTAGGTACAAATAAGGTCACATCTGTATTATGTCCAGGTTTTGATTACTTGAGTCCCCGGCAACAAAACTTCAGGACCTTGGGTGCCTCCTCCAGGGTTCCTCCTCCAAGGCCTGAAAGGCCTTTAAGGCCATCACTTCCCCGTTGCCACTGATGGCTCTGTCCCACGCTGTGAGGATCGCTGCCTTTATATGAGGCTGTTTCTTGGGAAGCCCATGTGTGATAAACTCTGAAGTGCAATCCAAATGCGGGAGGAACAATGGGCTCTGTGCAGTGTCTTGTGAGTCCCGCTGGGAACAGGCCAGACCTGGTTCTTTCCCTAGAGCAGTGGTGGTGAACCCACAGCACCCATGTTGTTCACCTTTAAAACAAAAGATGTTAGTGTATGCATTGTTTTTTCTAAACTAAAACCTCAGTATTCAGGTTTAATTGCAGGGTTGGCACTTTGCAATACATAAGTGGGGTTGGGTTGCAGTTTGGGTACTCATCTTTAGGGTTTGCCATCGCTGCCCCAGGCCAGCTCTTTTCTCTATGCCTGTGGGGTACTCCGCTGTTACCTCAGTCCCGGTAAGGATTTGAAGAGAACAAAAACAGTAAAATGCACTTGATGCATTTCTTTCCACCCTACAAGACAAAGTCTAAAATCCTTTTCCACCTTGCCCAAAGCAAAGCCTCCTCTCTCCTTAACTGGCACCAGTGCTTTGAGCACCCACTCTGTGTTGGCACTAGGGGTGTGGTGCTGGATGAGACCAGCAAGACTAGAGCCGACCTCCACAGAGCCTGCAGACCCCGGCTGTCATGAGAACGGCAGGCAGATTCCCAGCGCAGAACAGCACGTGGCCTCCAGGTTGGAAGTGAAGGGGGCTCAGGGAGGATGTATGGTCAGAGCAAGTGGACAGGTGGGAGGAGGTGAAGTCAGAGGCAGAGGCCTGGCCGGATCTCCCAGTGCCTTGTCATCCACTGTGGGAGCTGGAAATCGATTCAAATACAGTGAGAAATCACTGCAGGGTTGGAAGCAGGAGACAGGCGTGACCCGTTGCCCTGCATAAACAAAACTGGCCGCTGTGTGGCTAGTGCACCTCAGCATTATTTAGAGAGGACTCTTCTAAGCGTGGGGGGGGGACCCCATTCTATTGTCTTGAAGACGTCCATCCTTCTGGACTTTACTCTTCCCCATGAGGGGACATCGATACTGGTTATCCCACCCAGGCTAGCTTGAGGTATAATTGATGTTTGGACTTCAGGTCTGCAAGTAATTCTCTTACGAGCTCATTGAGAATGAGCCAGTTCTCCCAGAACCTCTGAATGACTGGGTCAAATTGAGTTTCTAGTCATACAAAGCTCTGAGCTAGATTCTGACCAAAGTCCTGTCCAACTGTCAGGTGCTACAAGCAGTAGGTCACAGCCAGAGACTTCTCCAACCCCTCTGAGCTGCAGCTAAACACCTCCACTGAACCATTTTTGTGTTTGTTGGATGGATGGATGGATGGATGGATGGATGGATGGATGGGTGAACAAATGACAGATGACTGCTGATTGGCTAGTTGAGTGTAAGGAATAAGTGAAAGAACTAGAATATATATACTGGAGAGGAGGGAAGAGAAGAGAAAGAAGATGGAGAAGAAGATGAAGGAGAAGAAAAGAAGGAAAAGAGATGAAGAAGAAGGAAGAGAAGGAGAAGACGAAGAGAAAGAAAAGAGGAGGGAGGGAAAGAAGGTGAGAAGGAGGGAGGGAAGGAGAAAAAGAAAGAGGAGAAGAGGAGAGAAAACACATGGAGAGAGGCAGAGAGGGCCCAGGGAGGGGGAAAAGGTGGGTCATGGTGCCACTGAAGAAACACAGCATCCCTGAGCCCTTTTCTCCTGGGAAGCAAATACAGCCATTTCTTCGGACACCACAGTGACGTTCACTGCTCTGTCAGACAGACAGCACTTTCCCAAAATTCCCCTCCAGGATGGGGTGGGCTTAGGAGGACCCAACAAGAAGAAGGCAGCTGTGAAGCTGCCTAAACACTAGTCAGGATCCCTGTGGGGCCAGAGACACAGATGGAAGCACAATACTGCTACTCTCGCACTTCTGACCCCAGGGCCCCACTCCGCACAAACACAGGGCATCTGTTGCCAGCATGGTAAGGGCAGAAGGCCCTGCGACCCAGTCATCATCCCCCACTCCCAACGTGCCTCTTCAGACACGGGTCTATCTTTTGGTGAGCACAGAGCTGACACCACAACCAGGAGACAGGGTCTATCTCACAGCAAGTGGGATGCACGGGAGACAGTTCTTCAAACAGTATGTCTCTGGACAGAGAAAACAAGGGGCTTCCACTGGGGAAACTCATGCATCTGCATAAGGAAATGCTGCCCATCACACGTGGAGGCAGGCATGTTCCTGATCATGCTCAGCTCGTGGTCACATGCATGTGCAAAAACTAGTGGAAAGAAACACCTCGTGGGCAGGGAATGTAATATTACACTCAGCAGGGTTTTACCCTAGATTACCTAAAATAGTGAGTCAGAGCCCCTGCGATGTGGGCGGATTCCTTGCAAGTGCTGGAGGACCGCATCTGAAACAAACACGTGACTCGGAAGGAGTGTGAACAGTGACTAAAGGGGCAGCAAGTCCTCACCCTCCCCCTAAAAGCCCCTGGTTAGGAGCTCAGTGCCTCTGTGAGGTTAGCACCTTCCTCCGGGACATCTCGACTTTCAAGACCAAAGTCTGAATTTCTGTGTCAGACCAGCCGGTCACTTAGCAGGGCTCTGATGGACTGGAACTGCAGATGGAAAATCAGGAGATTAAAAAAAAAGACACCAACAAAAGCCAATGTGCCTACTTTAGAGGTAACAAGATATGGAGAGCAAAATGTCACCATGTTGCTGAGCGTCACCACTGCTTAGAAAATCTGGCTTTCCTGATTCAAGTGGGAAGCTCTTCTCTGCTCTTGTGGGAAAAAGCAAGAAAAGAAGTAGTAGAACTTGGTGCAGGACCTGAAAACATTCTGCAAGGGCTTGCCTTGTTCTCCTGCAAGGTTTCCAGTGGAGACAAATGCTTTCCACATGGCCCAAGAGGGGGAGGCTTCTTTCCGCTTGCTTGTGATCCTTAGACACTGCAGCGTGTAAACAATCAACACTCCACAAAGAGCCTTCCAGAGCCAGAAGTCCTTCCCTGACCTCCCACCCCAGCTAGTGAGATGAGCGTTTCCCCACACCACCCTGTGCCCACCCCCCACCAATGGTGGAGAACCACAGCCACGAGCCCCAGGGAGCTCATCCTGGCCAGAAAGAAG